TGTGTGTGTGTGTGTGTGTGTGTGTGTGTGTGTGTGTGTGTGTGCGCATATGTGTGTAATATCTATCTATCTATCTATCTATCTATCTATCTATCTGTCTATCTGTCTATCCCATTCTCGTATGTTTCCCTGTATCTATTTAATACACAATGTATAGCTCAGAACCATGCATTACATATAAGAGACAGATCTATCTATCTATCTATCTATCTATCTATCTATCTATCTATCTATCTATCTATCTTATCTATCTTATCTATCTTATCTATCTTATCTATCTATCTATCTATCTATCTATCTATCTAATATTTCATATTTCTCTAAGCTATCTAGCATCTAATATATAGCACAAAGCAATGTGCTAAATACCCTGCCATCAATTCATATTTTATTGTCCAAGCTTGTATACACAAATACAATTTGAAATCTGGACATATGTTCTGTATGCTTACCCTATAAATAAAAGAAAAAGCTTCCCAATCTTGTAGAATGCAGCTTTTGATGTTCTATCCTTACAGTGAGTTTATAATATGATTCCTTGTAGGAAAGGAAACAAACAATTCCCAGTGCATATATTTCTTCTTCTCATTGGAGAGATGGGGAGAAGATTGCACGTAATGCCAGTGCTCAAGTAGTGACAAGATAGGTGGGAGAGAAGGAAATATTATAAGCTCATGTTTTAAAAGATTGATTTTTTTTAAACAGTGCAGATGAGGCCCTAGCTGTACTGTCTGACACACATCCTTTGGTAGGTCAAACAGTTTACATATATGTAGTTATTATGTATATGTAGTATTAGTATTAGAAAGTCTTTTAAGCTTTGTATGGAAAATGAATAAGAATATTAGAATGAGAATTATGCTCATGTTTTTTTATTTACAAGATCCTGTTTTGCTTGACATTTGCGAGGAGGACCTCAGGATATAATTTATTTAAGCAAGTAAAATCGGTTACAGAGAACTCTCTAACACACTCCAGGAAGTTACAGAAACCCGTCTGGGTCAAAAAACAGAGTGCAAGCCCCAAGCAAAGAAACATAATGCTCTTTCAACATAACCAAATCCAAGTGTAGCATCCCATGGTTATATGAAGTGTATTACGATCATCTCATTTCGCCAGCTGATGTTGGAGGGCATACAGTTGTGTTTATGCATAGAGGGTAATAAAAATTGAATCATTATCATGTCTAGACGCCGGTTTGTATTGTAAGAAACATTATGCATCTCTGTATTATTATTATGTACTGTATATTATTGAGAAAAAGAAACAGTAAAGTTTAACTCTTGGTTAGCACAGCAAAGAAGAAAGCCGAACCTGCATATTGTATATATTGAAAAAGTATAACTGTCCCCTTTTAGGTATGTAATTACAAGCTTTATATAGAAAAAGTTTTCTTTTTTTATTGTGTGTATTGAGAGTTATTTACATTTATGTATATCGTCAAGCTGCATATATAATAATACATATGCTAATTTTTTTTACTTATGTTGTGCTGAAGCAAGGGTTACCATACCCTGTGCTGGTAGCATACTGAAGAGTCAGGCCACTACTCTCATACACAGTGTAGTATCTGGGTTTCCAGTGCTCCAACACCCCCCCTGCACAATGCTGCACTCAACAGTACTGCAGAAGAGAGCATGGGCACGGTTGATTAGATCACTGTGCAAGGGGCATGCCAGGCCACTGGACTGTGTGTTAGAGCAGTAGTATAGCTCTACAGCATGCTGCCAGCACAATGTATATTAACCGTAGCTGCCACACGTAGTAAGTAAAAATGATTTACTATGCATAATTATTTTTAAAAGTTAAATCTATTAATTCTTAAAAAAAAGTAATATTTTTATATATA